CAAAGAAATTGCCTTTTAGTGTGCAGTGAATTTCATGTAATTTCCCTTTGACTAAGACAAGGAATAAGTGCAATGAATCCAATCAGACTTTTAAATGATCATTATAAGATTGGGTGGTATACTTAATGTCTGAACATATACCGGTAAAAGTAAACTGTCTGAGAGGAAGAAATATTGTATTATTTTTAGGCCTGTGTTCCCTGAGCATTCATACTATAAAGTTAGCCACTAGGCAGAGGCTGCCTTTTCCATTCCATATTTATAAACATTGCTATGAAACCAGATTTTTACCTCCCAGTACTTTATTACTAAGCAACAAAATGAAGAATTGCAAGTGGAATAGGAATATATATATATAGCTGTTCTTCTTAGCACTGACACTGAAATGCAACATTAATGACATAGTAATTGTATTTTTCTTCTTTTATGGACAGGGAGAGAAACTGATTATAGATGAACAATTCCAGAACAGCACAGAAAATGTTTGTCACTGCACTAAGTACAAGTGTTGTAAGTATACAAGATTTTTAGTTGAAAAAAGCATTTAATTTACCCTATTTAATTCAAGGCTATGACCACATTCACACATCATTCTGTACCATAGTTTAGGACAGACTCTCCTCCCCTTCCAGAGGTTTGTAAGCTTTTACTTCCCCTTTTGCTTGACCAGTTTGTTGCTTTATCCAAGCTTGCACACAGTAGCTAACATTAAGTATCATCTGCTTGAAACAAGCCAGCTTGTTTCAAATGAGCCATAATTAATATCAACACATTTGTCTGTATGAAACAATGAACCATGATGAAGCAAAAGTGGAAGACAAACCAGTTTCATATGCATTATGTAGAAGGACTGGAAGTATTATTATTATTAGTATTAGTATTAGTATTATTAAAGAATCAGTGTTTGTATAATAGTTATAAATTGTTCTAAATCTATAGTTTCTCATTATTCTAAGGAAATAATTCTTAGAAAATTTTCCTGCATATTTTTTATGCTTTCAAGAAAAGCTGAGCAGATATGTTTAATGAATGTGACCTTTAGTTTTTTAAGAGACAACCAGTATGAGCCAATATAAAGTCGTAAATAGATAAAAATGGATTCAGTTGATTCACTTTCACGAATCAGCCAAATGATATTTGTGAAGGTCTAAAAGTATTATGTCCTCACTTTTCTTTCTTCTTTTGAAGCATCAATTGTCATCGGTTTTGATTATTTCAGTTAACTTTATCCAATGTACTTTGTTTTTGGAAATCTGTTCCAGCAAGAGACAAAGTGTGCCTAAGCAGCGAGAGAGGTGTTCTGCATCCAGGACAGTCCATTGTTGAACACTCACCTGATGGTGTTTGCCACACTTCCTACTGCACAAGCATAGTTGATCCTGTTACCAAGTACTATCGGATAAATATATCCACTATAGATTGTGCGGCAAGGTGCAAATCTGTAAGAAGTTTAGAATTTAACTTGGGGTTTTCTCTGGTAAAATAGAACAGCAGATAGGAATAATAAAAGTAAATCATTTTATTAAGAATAAAGGAAACTAGTGCAGTTGCACTGATTTCCCCACCCAGAATCTCTGATGTCTTATAACAAGAGGCCTTATTTGAAAACTGGGATTGGTGGTTGACCCATTGATAACATTCAGTTATAAGAACAGATGTTTTAATTCTGCTGTGATTTGTTCTACAAAAGTAAATACTTGCTGTTAGAAGTTAACTCCTCTGCATAGGTAATAGTTTCAAGGATCAAAGCAAGCTGCAGAAATGTAGAGTATATTTACCAAACATTACATAAATTAATCAATTGATACAATGCATTTTGTTCCTGGTGAAAATTTCCCCATATATTGAATCAATTGATATTGTATCTGTTTGTTGAAGCTTGAAGAGCTTCTGTACAACAAACAAGAAACTAAGCATCATTATAACTATTCTGCTACAGCAAATGCAGCCAACAATCCTTTCTATGAGGACAGGATATCATGCTATTAGTGTTGGACAAAGGCTTGTTGGAATATTGCACTATGCATAAATACAATTTAATTGTGAAAAAGTTCAAGTTTTTGCTAATACAGAATACAGAATACAGAAAGTCATTTTATGTATGCTTTAGTGGTGTAAACATGAATGTGCATGTGATACACATAAATGTGTTAGAAAATGCAAACATAGTTCACTATTTAAGCCAAGTAATTGCCATGGGCAAACAGAAGTCAAACCACAGCATGAATTAAAACTTAATAGCTATGCTTGACTTCTCTGCAGAACTTAAGAAGTTGTTGCCTCAAACACTAATGGACATTAACCAGGTTATCTTGGTTTTATTGTGCCATGGCATCTTGGCAACAGAAGATAATCTTGTCTTGGACACAACAAATGTGTATGAACTGTACATTTATCATGCTAAAAACTGATCATGTGGAAAGGCCCACAATGAATTTCAAAGTGGCTGAGCCACAGCATGAACCCAGCTCCCTATATGCAAGTCTAAGGGCCATTGAAGTACACTGGTGTCCTAGTAATAGCAACAGTACATTTATTTAAGGTACAATAATACATTTAATAGTACTGTTAGATACTATGATTATGACAGAGTTCAATGGAATATTGTAATAAAAAATACACATTTGTAATCTTAATTCCTGATTTGAACTATATTTGAAATGATAGCCTTTACTTTTTCAGAATGAAGTATATGAACCTCCAGAGGATTTAACAACCTGTTGTGGAAAATGCAAGAATGTGTCTTGCGTTCACTCTTTCAGCAATGGAACAGTTTCACATTTTAAGGTAAATTCGTACTTATAGTTTTTCTTATGGAGGGAGAGTAGCTCTCATTGGTTACTAAGTGTAAGTGTTGAACTAAGTTTGTGCTTCTGAACCAAAAAACCTGTTGTGGAATTTTTTGAGCAAGCAATCTGTGCTCAAATTACATTAGCGAAACAAATTTAGGAAACATGAAGTTGCACATTCCTACTCTGGGGATGGCATAGCTATGTATGATGGGAGCTACCTGGACAGTAGTGAATGACGTGGTGGGATGATGGTACTCACCTGGCCTCCTGACAATGGAGTTTTTATTGTGAGGGAGAGGGCAAGGTAGTGAGGCAGTTGGTGCCATGCAAAAACACACCAGCCAGCAGGAGTGCAAGATTGGCTAAACCAGTGTGCTTGCACAGCATCAACCTCCCAGCCGCCTTGAGGACATGGGTAAGTGTTGAGTTTAGTGGCCAAATGCAGTTGCTGACCATTCTTCTTCCCATCATTTCATTTTATTGAAAAATCTTAAGGTGGGAAAATTAACAACTGTAAGATCAATAAGGAGCACTATAGATAGTAGAGCAGGCATCCCCAACCTTGGGCTCTCCAGATGTTTTGGACTACAATTCCCATCATCCCTGACCACTGGTCCTGTTCGCTAGGGATCATGGGAGTTGTAGGCCAAAACATCTGGAGGGCCGCAGGTTGGTGATGCCTGTAGTAGAGGAATAGTACAGCTCTTTAACAGTATGTAGGCTTTGGCTTCTCTTCACAAGAGGTGGGACGGGGGAGAAACAGCAATACTTTCACTACTAATTTGCACCCCACGTAGAGCTATGTAATCTTTCAGAAGTCACATTGAATTATGCTGGTCTGTCACAGGACTATGTGGGAATAAGAAATATAATAAACCAAGGTTGCTACAGTGCAGAACTGTATTACTTCGTGGATGCATCTGGAAGTCTTGTTTCTCAGAAAGGCACAGTACTGATTGTATTTGGTATTAGGAATGTCAGTGACAGCTCCCTAAGTGTGAGCAAGTGGCTTATTTTGACATTAAATCAAGTTTCTTTTGTTTTTTAAAAAAAACCTCTGCAAATTCTATTGGTTTTTGAAGTGTTTGTATTTCTGATGATTATTTTAAATACTCAAAATAGCCTGGCACCAGTTGGATTTCGAACTGTGTCAGATACGACTGCACAAACACACCATTTGGACCTGTTCTAATTACATCAGCCATCAGCTGTCCACCGTTTAATGAAACGGAATGTGTGAAGGTCAGTGGTTCATCCATTTTGCATTCGATTTTGAAAGCTTTTATTTTGCTTCCTCTGGACACTTCCATTTATTGCAACAAGATGGAACTAAAGGTCGTAAAGGCTAAAGAGCCGGAACACAGGTTAGACTTTGCATTTGGAAAGGGGATGCTGTTGAAATCAGTCCTCCCTCTGGTGAGTGACCCTTCTCCTGGCTATAACATTTAGATCTACTTAACATATAGATCACAAAGCCGCCACACTGCAAGTCTCTGTGTGCCCACCACACCCCTGGGCAGCACTGGTGGGGAAACAGGGATGCTCGCAATATCATGGTAATATAATTACCATAGAGCTATATGTAATGTAAACTACCATAGATCCAGTGCTGTATAGTGGTTAGGGTGTAGATACTAGGACTTGGGAGACCAGGATTCAAATCCCCATTCAGCCATGAAGATCACTTGGTGACTTTGGGACAGTCTCCACTTCTTAGCCTAACCCACCTGACAGCATTGTTGTGAGGATAATATGGAGAGAGGGAGAGCCATGTACACCACCATGAACTCCTTGGAACAAAAGAGGGATATAGATGCAAATAAATAAATAAGAGAGAGAGAGAGAGAGAGAGAGAGAGAGAGAGAGTGTGTCTTTTCAGAGCCATAAAGGTAAAAAAGCCTCTACAGTGAGCACTGTGACTGCTCATTGATTTACCAGGTGTAGAAGTGTTCTACAGATGATGGGAAGAAAGCAAATGTTGTGTCACTCCAATGCAGTTCAGAAGGGCAGGCAAAGTGCCTAGAGGATTATACTTACATTTTCCTCTCAAGTAGACTTTCAAGAGCAGCCTTGCTATGTTGCTCCTAATCTGTTTGATCTGACTTTTGTTTAGAGTGAAGGTTACGCTGAATCTAAGGTTTTTTAAAAAATATATATGTAATAATAGAATCACAGAACTGTAGAGTTGGAAATGCAGGAATATGTATCTGTCCCATATGGGGATCAAACCTGCAACATTGGCATTAACAGCATCACGCTGTAACCAACTGAGCTATTCAGGCTCATATTTTGTTTCAGTTAAAATAAATATTGTATTATTCTCTAGATTCTGGTTTATTTACTGTTTAATTTTCTTAATAGTGCAGTTAAGTGCTCTTCCAATAGTTCATCTCTACTACTACTACAACCTGTGAATTAGTGCTAAAAATGATTTCATACTGGTAGTGACTTTTTTTTTTAATACAAATTCAGGTTGGAGGATATATTGTACCATTCTTAGAAGGATGCTGCAAAACATGTAAGTACCAAAACATCAGTAATGGTGTACGTATGAGAGAGTTTTGAGGGGTACTGGTTGCCTTCTGAAACATCTAAACAATAAGCAGCACTAACAATAACAAGAATAAAATTGGTTTACCCAATGGTTATAATAGCAGTAACATTCTTTAGTTATTAAGAGATCATGTGCCATTTAAATCAATGAAATTTTCCTCCATGTTTTGTTTAGATCATTGTGTACCTAGTATGAGATTGTGAACGACTGTAAAAAATCACACAGCATTGTCTACCATTGCCAGTAAAACTAAATCTAGATTCAGTCTGAGTTAAAACAATATTTACTAAGGTTAGAATGACACCTGTGTTATTTTCGCTGGTTGGGACTGAATCTAAGGCTACTTTTCTGCAACCAGTAGTGATTCTTTCAATCATAATTCACAAATCAGACCAAACAGCTGGGAGTGGGGCAAGAGCTGGAAAATTGCTAATCAATGATTCATTCACTATGATTTGAAATATTAGTTTGGTTGCATGGTCATTTAGTTTATTTAAATGAGCTTTGCTGTTTATTTCCTTTAGCTGAAGATTTTACTATTTAAAACATTAATACCAACACAGAACCAAACAGTCATAAACAAATATGGGAAAAGGAAAGCCATAATGTTATTACATGGGGACATAATTCATCAGGAAATTCTGCAGCTGAAATCCCATTACAATTTACAAAAGCTGTTGCAGGGGTGTGTGTGAAATAAAGTTTCTCATGGTTTCAGTTTGCCAAGATATTATTAATAATAAAGTAGGGGCATATTTGTCTATGATATGTGGTATATTTTAAGCTGTTTAATTTAATTTAAAAGAAAATAAAGGGAACAGTGTCATTTTCAAAATATAACTTGACATGTAGAATTGAGGTTCATGAAAATGTGGCTCTTTGTTTTCTGACATCAGCTCTCTTTGGTATTCCTCAAAACGAAGTTAACACATTACAGAAGTAGAGGCTCTGTGAAAAGCAGAAACTATTACTAATATTTTGTTTAAATATACTGGACGAATGAATCATGGAGGCAGTATCTTCGTTTTATGGTACAAAGGAGTTGTCAGCTTATTCATTTCATAATTTCACAGATTCTTACGTTTTTATTAAGCCCAGAATCACTTGGGTATATGTTTATATCAGAGGCTGCAATCCTATGCTATCTTACTTTAGAGTAAATCTCATTGAACTCAGTGGGACTTATTTCCAAGTAAACATTCAAAGGATTGTATGGCACATCATGTAGTTCCACATCTAGACCAAAATCCATAGACTAACAGTACATGTCTTCATGTTGGGTTGTGGCTATTGGGAAGTGGTTAGAGTGTCAGACTTCACCTTGGAAGATCTGGGCTCAAATCCTTGTTCAGTCATGAGGCACTTTGGGTAGCTTTGGACAACTTTACTTCAGCCTAAACCTACCTTGTAGATTTGTTGAGTGGATAGAATTGGTAATGCTCATGTATTATATTATTACCGTAGCTACATAGCAATACTTGCAGTAATATGTACATGTCAGTACAATACAATTACAGTGGTGCCTCGCAAGACTAAATTAATCCTTTCCGCGAGAGTCTACGTCTAGCGGTTTTATCGTCTTGCGAAGCAAGCCCATTGACGGATTAGCGCTATTAGCGCTATCAGCTGTTTAGCGGCTATTAAAGGCTTAAAGGCTTAGGGGATTAGCTGCTAAAAGGCTATTAAAGGCTATTAAAGGCTTAGCAGATTAGATAAAGGGGGAAAAGCGAAAAAAATCTCAGGACTCGCAAGGTATTTTCGTCTTGCGAAGCAAGCCCATAGGGGAATTCGTCCTGCGAAGCAACTTCAAAACGGAAAACCCTTTCGTCTAGCGGTTTTTCCGTCTTGCGAGGCATTCGTCTTGCGGGGCACCACTGTACTAAAATATTCCATGTTGAGCTCCCTGGAAGAAAAATGGGACACAAACATGAAAAAATAAATAAGATATTACTGTGTGTAATTTAAGGAGAAGGAAATTGTTTAGCAACTACTACATATAAAAGAAAGTTACATGCACAAGTGCAAGAACCTATTTTAAATATAAAACAAGAAAATATTATTTAAACTCAGGAAGGAATTCAAAGTAGCACTAAGAGGCTCTGTCAGTGCAGGCAATTATGCTTCCTTGATGGAATGATTTCCTCACCCTCATTCCCCTCCCCCCTATTATCATGGGGGAATGGGGAGAACTCTGGGAACAGTGGGATGGGGAACAGGAGTGTAGAGCCAAAATATGTACCTTGAAGGAATGGATGCCTTAGTGCAACACTGAATTCCTCCCTAAAGTTTGTGCATCTATGTATCATATATAATGTGTTCGATTTGTAATATTCTTATTAGGTTCTGGAATGTCATTGTTGCTCCCATTCCCCGTTAGCCCAGTCACTCCTGTACCTAGTGCTAGCTGTAACACAGGTACATATTCTTGGAAATCAGTAGGAACAAACCAGACAGAACCATTGTTGATTTCCAACAATGTACTCCCTCATAGGAGCATCATGCCCTCAGGTCACAACATCTGGTTGAAATAAGCTGTATTGTAGTATGAACTTCTGATTTTTTCAGATCTGCTCACATATCTTTTCATTTTGCACTGTATGGGCAGTGCATTGTTGTTAGCCAACAATGTACTGTTGGTAGTAAGCATTTGCATAGTGTTTTAGCTTGCTGCATGGTTATTTTGCTTGCTATTTCCAGTAATTTCCATAGTGCTGTAGAAGATAGAAACTAATCGCTTTGCTTGTTAAAGCTTGCTGTTAAAATAACACTTACCCAGAAAGTATGGCATATGTGTACAGCACTGTCTCCTTGGGTATATGCTGAATGAATGGCTAAATATTATCATCTGTTATGTAACATTTCTAAAAATAATTATGTGGTGCTGGTAGTTGCTCAATGAGAAATACTGCAAACCAGAAACAGTGCAATAATCCTTCACAAAAGTCTTCCCCATACAATTGACACACTGTCTTCTGGCAGAGTTCCTATTGGATTGGGAGTAAATAAGCAAATTGTTCATGTTGACTTGTTTGTTTTATTTTAAATATTTGTATGCCACCTGTCCAACCATAATTTCAAGGCAGTTGGCTGCAGTGTGATGTGTAGCTTCTAGCTATGAAGGATTGCAGCATGAAGAAATAGCTCGACTGCAGCTGCATGTGAAGGTGGTCTCACTGATGGGCCACTCTCAACTAAAAGGCTTGTAGCTTGAACTGAAAATGATAGCAATAAAACACCTCTGTGAATACTGGTGTTATTCAGGAGTTTGTGCCAATGTAAGAACAGTGGTATCTCATATGTTGCAAACAAATCCTAGCTTGTAATGCAGCCTGTCTGTTATTCATTTGTAACTCCTATGTAAAATAGTTGGGCTGGTGTTGAAGATTTGGAGTGGGGTATTGTGCATAGGAAAGTTGCCTCCAAATTGCACTGTTTCTCCATCTCATCTATCTAGTTCCCTATTACACAGTTTGGCATTGGTGGCTGTTGCCTTTGTGGCTTTGTGTTGATTTGGCATGTCACATCATGTTGTGCAATTGTCATAGTGTGAAACCCTTAGAGTGCAATCTTCCAATTGCTTACCCAAAATATAATGGTGTAATTAATGTAGACTTGGCACTATGAATGTTGCCATGTACACACCATATTTATTTTTATGTAACACCAGTTTAGTAGTATTGAATTCAGCTGAATTAAATTATGTTAAGTGCTTTTGGAAAATACTTGGATAGTTTACTTCCACGTTTTGAGATAGACCTATTCACATTCATGAGGTTACTTAGCAGTAAGTAATTTAAGACTAGGGCCCTAGATTATAGTCTTGAGCTCTTACTTGAGAACAATTATTACAAACACTGGTACTTTAAAATAAATACATTTGGAATTAAGTTTTCTGTTGATCTGGAAAGTGAATTTTAGGGTGCTGTTCACCCAGGAACTTCATTGGTACAAGCTCCACTCATTTCAATGACAACTATACTGACACAGTCCTATCTATATTTAGATTTTTTGATACATAGAATATTTGTGCTGATAATAAATGTAATGCTTAGAACAATTTTGAGAGTCCAAAATTTGAATGATATAGACCATTGCTCATGGTCTTTGTCTTTTATTTTCTATATGCTTACCTGGTGTATCAACTGGTTTCTAATCATGTCATTCTTTGCAGGCAAGGAAGATGGAAAATTCTGCAAAAAGGTGACTGTTAGGATGACAATACGCAAGAATGATTGTCGAAGTAACACACCAGTAAGTAAATGACTAGCAGTGTCCCGCTACTATTTGCACTCTGTTACCCTGAAAGTTTAGCATTATTGTTGGTTGGAAGCCATTTAGCCATTTCTCTTATCACATTAAGTTATTTTTCTGCTTATTTCCAGGTAAATATTGTTTCCTGTGATGGAAAATGCCCTTCTGCAAGCATATATAATTATAACATCAATACATATGCAAGATTCTGCAAATGCTGCAGGGAACTTGGGCTACACAGACGAAATGTGCAGCTATATTGCAGTGGCAACTCCACCTGGGTCAGCTATACTATTCAAGAACCCACAGACTGTTCTTGCCAGTGGTCATGAAACAATGCTACAAGAAATCAATGTGTTCAACAGCTTTGGGGGAAATTAATTTTACTCCCTGGGTTAGGACAAAGAATGTTGATGACACAGTTGCCTACAGTTACAAAAAAAATCAGCATTTAAATAAACTGGATTGTGTTCTGGG